ATATCACGTTTTTCTACATCAAACTCTTCGTTTATGGCTTGTAGAAATTGATACAGACGATTTTGTTGTTGAATTTGTGTGAAAATCGTCATATCCTCTGGGCATTTCATCGGGTTGGGTCGCCTCCTGTCGATTTCCTTCCACACAGCTTGCAATTGGCTATAGACCTTCTCTAGTGTCTGGTCTCCTTGTTTGATGCTGCTAGCTTTCACCATCAAGTTGTATACCTGCAAGGGATCTTTCCCGGAGCCGTAGGTGGCTTCGATTCCCTTCCACAGATCCCAAGCAGTAGGATAATCGATATATTGATTGACAATATCCGATTCTATGTTTTCTAGAATCCATGTTATAACCGTTGAGTCTGCTTGTCTCCATTTGATAAATTTGGGGTCATCAGATTTGAGAGGTGTGGCAGTGATGTGCTTGAGCCGCCCTCTCCCATCCAACGCCAGACTCATTTTGCGTGCCCAAATGGCGTAGTTCCTATCGTTGAGCTTTTCCGCCATATTTAATGGCTAATTGGAAGAGCTCTCGATAGGTTCGGCCTTGGGTGTCAAATTCTGAAAATTTTGAAGAATTTCCAGAATTTGTGCAAGATTGATCGGCTGATTTTTCGGGTCAGATTCCTCTGTGTTTATGGAACTGCCCGTTTGAGGAGTTTTATCGGACATTTTTTTATGGTATATGATGAATGCTGCGTTTCATTCAATTGTTTGATCGAATGATGGGTCTGATACCATATTAGAAATATTAGAATGAATTCACAGCATAATATTCATCTTATTCAATTCATCATCAAATGATGAGTATAAATATTACAAAGTGAATAATCTAGACAATCAAGGAAGTTAAGTGGAAGATAATAAAATATCTTTGATTGGTAATTTGATTCCAATCAAGGATATTATCTTAGTCATCAATATTATTCCTTTGTTTGATACTATTCCTTTGTTTAACATTTCTAACATTGGATACGTGGGGTCCACACGCTCTTCCGGTTTTGACAAACCTAGAGGACTTGAATAATGCTCAAGAGAAGGCAAGCATAAATCATATTCCTATGCCTCAACCCATTGAGCATAATAATAATAATGTGAGAAACAAGAGGGAGCTTGTGGTTGATTTGCAGAAAGAGAAAGAGAAACCCCAAGCTGGATCTGTTCCCCTGAAAACACAGCTTGAGAACTTGGAATACATCGAGAATGAATGGGAGCGGATGGACCGAGAATTCAGAATGGGCACATTGACTCTTGGCTCACTCGTCAACTCCTTTCAGCATATCAAACAGCACTATCCCGAAGATTATAAGCTTTGTAACTTGCCAGCCATGGCATACTCCTACGCTCGGCCTCTCTTCTCCCGACTATTTCACAGGTGGGACCCACTTCAAAATCCCACTCATGGATTAGAGGCTGTATCGCCGTGGAAGGATCTGCTGCGGTTGGAAGAAGAAGAAGAAGAAGATGATGATGAGGACCACTCTTCTGGTCCTTACACTCAGTTGTTTATGGAAATAGTTTTTCGTGCAGTAAGAAGATCAGGGACAGGCAACAGACCCAGAACCCATGCTTCGGTTTTTGGAATCCTGGGAAAAGCTGTTGCCTCCTGCTGTTCTTCGCACCATTCTTGATAATGTTGTTTTGCCTAAACTATTAGCTGCTGTTGACCTTTGGGATCCCCGTGAAACTGCAGAGGAAATCCCAATCCACACTTGGATTCATCCATGGCTCCCCTTGTTGGGACACAAACTCGAAACGTGTTATCCCACAATATGTTCCAGATTGGCAAGTGGTGTACTTGATGCATGGCATCCAAGTGATGAGTCTGCCTACTCCTTACTGTCACCATGGAAGACCGTGTTTGATCCCGACAGTTGGGAAGAACTCATGGTAAAATTTATCGTCTCAAAGTTATCGGCTGCAATGCAAGAACTCCAAGTGTCGATGAATCCTGCAGGAAACCAGAAACCTTATCAGTTTGAGTGGGTCCAAACATGGGCCACTCATATTCCATCCCATCACCTGCTTCCCACATGGGATATCTTCTTCAACAAGTGGCAAGATGTCCTGTGCCGCTGGTTATGTTCAAACCCACTCTTTGAAGAAGTGACCAAATGGTTTTTAGGTTGGAAGAATCTTTTGCCTAAAGAACTTGTTGCAAATGAACACATACGATATAGGCTCAGTCTTGGTCTGGAAATGATGGCCCGGGCAGCCCAAGGCTTGAGACCCAGAAAAAGGAAGCTTGAGACTCAGGAAAAGGCTCAACAGCATGGTTATGTAAGCATGAGAGAAGTGATTGAAGCTCATGCACAATATAACGGGTTGGCATTCAAACCTAAGCCGGGCAGGATTCCGAAGGACGGGCATCAAATTTATGGTTTTGGTAACATAAGCGTAATAATAGACTTTGTGAAAGAGAAGGTATTTGCGCAAATTGTGGAGGAGGGCAGATGGTCTTTGGTTTGTCTTGAACAGCTTTTGGAGCTACACAATCAATATGGCTTGAAGAAGAGGAGGCGATGACGACTAAAGCACCCGGTTGTGCGCCAGTGGTCCAATCACTTTGATCGTTTTACACTGGATTTTTCTCAACATCTTATGCTTTGTAAGTGTAAACTGAATTGTATCATCATGAATCACATTTTATCAGAATTTCAGACGCTTGAAGTGCTCATTTGCCCGGCATTTAACTTTGCTTTTGTTTAGGTTGAGTTCATTAAAGTGAACTTAATATGATTCATTTAGGAACTACCTGCTAGGTCGCTCTGTTTTTTTTTTCCTCTTATTTTAAAGAGATGACCTTCTATGTTTGAATAGATGCTCAATGCCAATTCTTGTTTCCCAAATTTTGAATAGATGCTCATTCTATTGCCCTGAAATTCTTCAATTATTGCTACAAATAAATTGAAATGTCCTATACATTTATATATCATGGTTATTCAATATTCCAGATAAACTTATTGAGGAGGCAAGTAGTGCCCATTACACTTCAGTAGTGGTGGCTATTGATGATGATGATGGGACCAGTCTTGGAATCTACAGAACCCCATATATTCCAGATGGTCCTGGTAAGTTTAAGGGGAGTGTGGGGGGATTGAGCTCTCAAATGAACTGTGTAGTGAAACCGGTTTGTAATCCCTTCATTTTGTTTCTTTGAATCCAGGCGACATTGGCTTTAAGGTGTAAACAAATGTTTCTCAAGTTGGTCCAGCAGCTATGTTTATTTGGCTGTGTCGGTTTTCAGCATCTACACCTTTGAAGAATATTTTACACTTATGGTGCACAGGTCTTTGACACTAAATGTGCTCTTATTTGAGAGTCTCTATGCTCTTCTTTGTCTTTAAAACATCATTTCCAAGGACCCATATTCAGCATGGGCATGTGTTATATCTTTCAAAGCAAAGTTATAAGAGCTATTCTAGGGAAAAACAGTGGTGCTATAGGTGCAATGATTTGAGCCCAGCTAATGAGAAAACAAGCAGTGACACAATAGTTGCATTTAATACATACGGAGGATAAAAAAATTAAGGCAGACTCGCTGATCTTTCATTGTGTATCCGTGTAGCTATTTGCTGGGATCAGTGGTTTCCAGAAGTACTGTTATTCTTAACTGCTATTGGTTCTACATTGTGTCTTCTTCTTCTTCTTCTTCTTCTTCTTCTTCTTCTTCTAGAGGCTCTGGCAACAAGGACTTTGCTTCTTGCTTGAAGAAAGACTTGGAAGAGAAACTGAAGGCCCAATTTGAGGAAGAGTGAGCAACTACGTACTCCCGGGTACAATTGTTTTCTTCTTCAAGTGATGCCTCCGGTGATGCACTTCTATCCGCAACCCAATGTACTCTCGGAACCATAGACAGAGAAAGCAGACATACAAAATGGTTGTGATGTTAGTATTTTTCAAAACAATTATGACAACTGAAGATGAATTTGAATCTTAAATGCCTTGAAAGGCTAAATCTTAAATACCTTGAAAGGCTAACTTCGTAATATTGAACTGAAATGTTATACTCGGGATACTTATTAATTGTTGCATGTGGTGTAGGATTTTTTTTTTCTTTCTATTTATTGAATTGCATATTATTTGATGTTTTTAATTTATTTGATTAATAAAGTATTCTCATTCAATTACTTATTTATTTTAAAACACACTTTTTTTATTTATAAATTTATCAACAAAGTATCATCTGTGTTGCTTGAGCCTGGTGTCTTTTAGATCGCATGTCTAGACTAATCCAAGGAGAGCTACGCAACCACATTTGGCTTTGATATTTTTGTTGATTTCTCTAAATAGGCAATATTGTTCCCATAACTGTCTTGAATAAATCATTTCAATTTTTTTTTTAGATTTTTTTTTTCCTACTCATTCCATATGCATGCGTATAAAGTTGTTATGAATAGTTAATGTGTTTGCAGCTCCCATTAGGGTCCTCAATATTGATGAGTACAAGGAGGCAGAAAGGTTCGAAATGGAGAATGATTTTGAGGGTGGTCAATGGATTGGTGAATGATTTTGAGGGTGGTCAATGGATTGGTGGTGAGTATTAACCCTCTACGAGAAGTGCGTCCAGAGCAAGGATGATGTTCTCAATGTTCTTCTGGAGACAATGATTCATAATACCACATAGAACATCACCCTTAGTCTGAACGGGCTTCTCCTTGCGGGCACGATAGTAATACTCACCCCAACCCATTTTCCTTTAAAACCATTTTCCATTGCAAATCCTTCTACATCCTCTGTACTCATCCATAGTGAGAGCCTTCTCTGTGAGAAGCAAACACACTAAACAATTCATAACAGTGGGTAGGAGAAAGAGAAACCTACTTTCCTTTGGTGAATCCTCATCTCATCCCAATTTTTGGAGGTTTAGTTGACATGGGGTTTGGGTCGGACCGAGATGAAGTGTTCCCCATATATTAAGGAGTGCAAACCATCAATTTTTCGAATTAGACGCCAAAGACTCTTAATTTTACCTGTGTGCTACTATCACGCCCAAAATGAGTGTAAATATAGCCTCACCCTACATTAAAATATACAATAAATTAAAATATATAAAATTTCTTATGATATTTTTAACAAAAGTTACAAAAAACTACTAACATGCAACGCAAGTTTTGTTGAAATAAAAGAAATCATCTAAAATAGAGGTGAAATATATATTAAGTACAAAAACAATAGCTCTACATTTTATCTCCAAAATAAAAATTTACAATATTACAATGTAATAATGCATATTCGCATTAGAATATGTTTTTTCATTTTTCCGATTTTTTCCCTTAATGTTTTAGGGTAATAAGGTTTCATCTCATTTTTTGGTTACATTGTTTTTCTCTTTTTTTAAAATGTTTTTTTTTAACAATTCTGCTAGGAAATTGTTTCAAACATTCAAAATTATTTGCATGATACAAAAAAATAAATTAAATAAAAAATTCCTAAAAAATAAAATATCAAGTAAAATAACAGAAAAGATTGAAAAATAAAGCAAAATGTTTTCCTTATAGCATCCATTAATTATTCTACGCTGACTATCATTGCACAAGTTTCTATTTCCTCTTTGCTCTTTTCAGTTTTTTTTAACAAAAATTATTTGGGACAAATGTTAATATCATGTTTTTTAAAACTCAAAATCGTTAAGTTCTAAGATAAAAAGTAAATGAAATAAAAAACTGTCATTTAATTCGTCCTCTAACTAAATTGCTTCCTTTGTTTAATGACAGGGGAACGTGCATATTCATTTTCCTTTTTCTATTTTTCGTTTTTTGTTAAAGAATAAAATAAATAATAAAAAACATTGAAAGAAAAAAAAATTAAAAAGTCTTAAAGAAGATGTATTATAAATGAAATAGAAAATTACTCTCGAAACATACATTCCTTTGGTATGGGGTCTCCTTTCATTTATAATTTACGAAGTACTCCCTCCGTCCCATTTTATAACGCCTGTTTCGGTTTACGATGTTTGACTGAAATTATTTTCAAATAATTTTATTTGACAAATGGTATAGGGTTAAAAAATAAAAATTACATATCAAAATACTACATCAAAAGATCTACAAAACTAGTAGTGATAACAATATTTTATTTTATCAAATTGCTAACAAAAATAGAGAAAAAAAGTGAATGAAGTTTGACCCTGTGAATAGTGAACAGACATTATAATTTGGGACGGAGGGAGTATTATTTTCTTTTTTTCAAAATTTAATAACAAAAAGAAGATTTCTTTAATTCATTTATTTTTAATATCACAAACTCTTTGAATATTTGAAACTATTTTCCAGGAAACAGAGAAACAAAAAAAAATAAAGGTGAAATTGCAAAAATACAATAAATAACATTCATGAATGAAATATTGGTTGAAATGCCTCATTCTAGTTATTACCACAAAGTTTAATGACCCATAAGAGATGCTTGATAATTATTTAACAAAATTTTTGAATCGGATTGCAAGTTTAATGAACTTGCATTATTCAAGAATAACTTTTTGCAAAAAATAATTTCAATACATTAGTATGATTTACAATCTCTTCAATTTTGTTTTTTGCTAATACTCTTTAAGTCTCTAAGAGATATTGTAGGCAAATATTCAACTCAAAACTGAAACAAATCCATAAAAAAATGAAGGGAGTACCATGTGGGGTATTCAATCAAATCGATCCGATCCAATCCGATTCAAAAATTTTGATATTTGAAGATTTCGGATCATGTAAAACTCATTCCATATCCGATTAAAAAATATTCGGATATCCGAAAAGTTAACTTTTTAGCCACAATTTACAAAAAAAGGACAAATAGCAAAATCAACTCATAATATCAAATCAAATATAGATTTACTAAAAGAAAAATTCCACCACTAGGTAATGGCCTAATAAAAAATGCTACCAAATTCAATTTTGGGGATAACTTTGGTAGATTGGCCTAAACAAATAATTAAAAAAGCACTACTAAAACAAAAAATTCCAAAATACTAATGCAAAATGTCCAAAATGCTTAAGTTCCAAAATCAACATAAAATTGCATTAAACATATAGCCATAATATATATCAATAAAATTTTATTAAATACATAGCCAAAAAAATTGGATGTCCGATTATCCAAAAAATACTTGAATTTGAATATCTAAAATATCCAAAAGCTAAAATATCAGATCAAATATCCATTTTTTGGATCGAATCTGCCCGAATCATGGACAAATATTTTAGATCGAATATTTTTGAACAATCCCTATGTGTACATTCACTACATTGTACGGAGTACATAGTAGGTCTAATTTGGTTGCCCATTTCCCTTGGTGGTAGGGGTGAGCATGATACGGTATGGTACGGTATTTAGCTCGTACCGATACCGTACCAAATATTTCGGTTCGGTATGGGATTTTACTCCGTACCGATCCCGATCCCGAAATATCGGTTCGGTATGGTTCGGGATGGTTCGGTATCGGTTTCGGTACAAATCGGGATGAATATACATACCTACTTTACACCTTAAAACTTAACAATGCCCCTTTATTTTTGAAAATTAAAAGTGAATTTAAATAAAAAAACATGAAAAATTAAAAAAAAATGAATATTTAAATGCAAGAGATGCGTATCAAAACTTAGTTTATATTTCAAAAACTAAAAAAATGAACGACAACAAAGGAGTATATTGAATCTTTGTGAATACTTTTATGTTCATACACAAAAACTATAACTCAAATAAAAGTATAATTTACACATAATAGAACTTGAACCAATTTTTTTAAAAAAATTATTATTTAATGAAGGAATATAAAAGTATTACTCCGGGATATTATTTTTTATAATATTTTAGTATATATGTTCGGTTCGGGATTTTCGGTATGGGAAGTCACCTCGTACCGTTCCCAAATACCGTACCGACCATTCGGTTCGGTACGGTTCGGTTCCTTCTCGGTACTTTTTCGGTTCGGTACTCTCGGTTTTTTCGGGAAACTTCGGTATTGGTTCGGTACTTGCTCACCCCTACTTGGTGGTGCTCTCATATTTATAGTTAAAAAAGAAATGCTAGGTTAAGGGTTTCTGTTCTGGGCTTCTCTAATGGACTGGCCCAATCTCTGCATACCTGATTTCCGTCAATATCAAAATTGCATTGCATACCAATCAAATGAAATAAGGAAAAATTACCCAAAATAATCCCAACTTTATCCGGCCTTTCAAAAATAATCACACCTTTTACTGTGATGCATAATAATCCAACTTTGCATAATAAACATCTTAAAATTTATCCTAAGATAAAATAATTATTTTATTAATGTTATAGTCTTAAGTATTTTCAAGATATTCTTTATCTAATTAATTTTCCTTACAACTTTATTTAACTTTAAGTCAAAATCACCTAAATTGAATATACAAAGTTTAAATTAAACAAATATTAAGGTAGTATGTTTTAGTATTTTTTGTGGCTTTTTTAAGTTTAATGTACTTTTTTTTATTGAATACATTTTTTATTTAATGAATTATTTCAGTTTAAATTTAATTAATTAATGAAATCTTATTAATTTATTTTTATTAAATGTATTTTAAAACTTTTTAAAAAAAGTTCGAAACCCCTATTTGAAGCCTGGCATTAGGGTACCGATTTGAAACTCAGGGTTTCGTGGCCATTTCTGGTGCTCTAAATACTCTCTTAAAAAACTCTTACCCCGCATTACCCCGTATTTTTTAAGGAAAAATCATATTCCCTATTATTAAAGAAATATTGTTTAAGTTATGATATAGTAATGGTATGTTTGGTAAAGCTAAAAAATATATCGAATTTGATGTCTCCAGATTGCATAAATCACTCAAATGGAGGGTTTCGATATCTCTTGAATTCAGGTGATATCCATATGGGAGTTTGATATCTCTCTCAACCATTGATCATTCTCCGTCACCGGC